GACACTCATTTCGTATTGAATTACATTTTTGGAGCACTTTTTTGCTAAAGAGAGGCAACACTTTATTTATTTAAAACCAAACAAACCATCCCTTCATTTCTGCTTCATTTCCAATTCACATGAACTAAAGTACAAGAAAATGATATATTGTTTATGTAATTAACCAAAAAATACATAAGATTTTATGCCATTTTCTTATCAAATATTGTCTGCAAAATGTAACTTAAATCTCGTTTGCATTTTATTGATATATAACTTATTTGACATCAAATTGCAACTAGTTTATAAATGCATTTTACACGTCAATACACAAATTATAAGTTATGCATTATTTTTATAAATTCCTTGTGTTATAAATTAGGAATTTATATCTATTAATATTAATATGCATTTAATTTAGGGCTCGTTTTAGGAGTTATCCCAAAAATGCACTATTTTTTGGTCTAAAGAATTTGGTTATAAGGAAATGATAAATCGATCGATTGTTTTAATTTGATAACCAATTGATTATTATTTCGTTTTGCTTAATATAAACATTGATTTGTCCATCAATTATGGTCTAAAACATTGAAGAGATTGAATGGAAACGAGCGATGGATCAGTTTTTTGACCCTCTATTTGACTGTTTGTTAGCCAGAGGTAAGTGCAATGTATGTCTAATCTTCTGAGGCCTGAGATGTAAGTAATGACTTAAAACTTAATGAACTGCAAGACATACACACAGCCCCTCACTCTTTGACAAAACACATTCAAACGTGAAGTGAATTCTTGAGTTTGAGTTTATATTTTTTATTTTAAAAATTTATATAAAATTTAAGATAATTAGAAATTTATTCATAGAAAATCTCTATTTGGCGATATTATAATCACTTATGGTTTGAAAAAATTACTGACTTTTTAAATATTAAACAGTATTCTTTAAAATAATGTTTAAAATTTTGATATTTATTTTGTTTTTTATTTCTGGGCAAAACTTTTTTTCGGGTTTTAATCTTTGTCGCATAATAATAGCCGAGAGTCCTGTTTTTTTATATACCCGGGTCTCGACTTTAAGGTCGCTTTGTTTAATAATTTAAATTTTAAACAAATTATGAATTTTAACACTACAGTAATGTTAAGTTTGTTTTTATTATTTTTTTGTGAGCCATTGGCGAGAATTGGATGCAAATTGAGGCACAGAAGGCGTCTTCTGTCTAATTATATGATAGTTAACGAGATTTTAAGTAAAGGGTAAATAACCATCATTTTAAGGCAAAAGACTGGTAGCAGTGACTGAATTACAGAGATCTGAACCAACGGTTATCTTGTTTTGAAAAAAACTTATTTTCCCAGCAATGAAAGTGTTTGATAGTTAAAAATTGAGAGAATAATGAAAATTTTAAACTTTTTTAATTGCTATGAATTTACACTATAATTAAAACTCTTACCTAACTATTGAGATGCTTTATTGGGTCTAATAAATGGTTTTAAATGTTAGCAAATATTTAATGTTTTAATAATAAAAATATATGTATAAATTGAAACGAAATTTTCCAGTATTTTAATAAATTGCGGAAATATTTAATGATTTATTTAATAAGTTAAATAAGTTGAACATAAATATATATTATGTTTGTTTTGTTATTATTAATACTTTCTAATGAATGCTAATTTAGTAATACTATACACAACTAATTGTCAATAAATATAAATATTTACCATATGTTATCATTAATACCGGACTTTGATATCGGCGTTAAAAGTGATGATATGTCCAGTAAATTGGATGTGATATGAAAAATAGACTAATGTCTGCAAGAATTTGCACCAATGAATCCCAAACTTAATCAATCATGTGATGACAGTCGCAAATAAACATAATTTAAGCTTAAGTTTGACAAATCTTTTTACATTTCATTTGATGTCAATTTTGACATTTAAAATGTTAGGGATTTTACGGCAAAAATAATGATTATTTGCAATCATTTGTGATCCGATTATTTTCGGCTCATTTATTGCTTAATTCCAGCGATCGTTGAAATTTTACTGCAAAAGAAGGTCACTCTATAATAGCCTTTTTAAAACGTCTCCCAAAGTCTGGCAAATAGTTTGACCGAAAATATATCATTTTTCCTATTCTCTAATGTAATGTAATATAAATTTTATATTTGCTATTAGTAATAGCCTATTACTGCATTTGTGATGCAAAACATGCATTAATGTTATGCCAGATCTTTACCATATGTTAACTAAATGGTTGTAATTATCGTAATGATAATTATTATTTAAAATAAACTAATTGTATTTTATATCATCGCTTTTGCAAACTAGCGCTAACCCCAGAGATGTCTACAATATGCAGACAAGAGTGGTTACCCGGGTATTCATTTAACACTAATTTATGCAGTATTTTGAGCCCAACTATAATTAAAATTGAATTATTTATTCAAATGCAATGTTAGAGTTTAGTGTATAAAAAAGTAATTGATTGGACATTGAAGGCAATGAATCCAATAAAATTAAGACTGAAAACACAGATTGAACTCAAATTTGCAAAATAAGGTCCACTTTAAAAATGAAATAAATGCTGATTTGTTAATAATTGAGTTCTTAAATACATTACATCTAATCAGATAATATCTAATCACTTGAAGGCAGACTTGAATTACACACTTATATGAGTTATTATTTTAATTTTTGCACAGCATTTAGTGCCTTAAAGGTAAGGACCAAAAACGACCAGAAATATTATACTGTATAACCAAATAAGACTTATTCTGTATAAGTATTGTCAGCAAAACGTTTAATTATAATTCACTTCATTTCCATTCCTTACAAGTTTTACTCAATTTTTATCACTAAAGCGCTCATTATTTTTCATATAATTAATGTTTTTTATTTAAGAATATATTAACAATTTATTGCTTTCAACGATAATTATACAATAATTTAAAGTGTATTTTAATTTTAAAATGATATTTAATTTTTAATTAAAAGACATCTTTTAATGAAATTAAATAAAATGCAAAAATATTTATTTAATTATTTTGAGTGAGAAAATATAATTGATTTTATTAGAGAGAGAGAGAGAGATTTACATGTGCGGTGCGACCCAACCACTCATCGGTCTGATCGGGACGTTATTGTCGTGATTGGGAAAATAGTTGCCGACAATAGTGTTGTAAGTAAACTGTGCCTCATTATAGCNGAGAGAGAGAGAGAGAGAGAGAGAGAGAGAGAGAGAGATTTACATGTGCGGTGCGACCCAACCACTCATCGGTCTGATCGGGACGTTATTGTCGTGATTGGGAAAATAGTTGCCGACAATAGTGTTGTAAGTAAACTGTGCCTCATTATAGCCGGTGTTATCCGCGTAATCCTGGTTCGCATCCATTTCCCTCTTCTTCTCATTGCCTTGTGTTGGGTCGAAATGTTGTTCGTAGTGTTCGTACTGTTCCAGACGCTTCTTCTTCTGGTAATATTCATATACATTACAAGCAATTAAAGCGATGACCATAAGTGAGGCCACTATTGGCAATATAATGAACAGAACCGGATATAACCATCCGTTCCAACCTATTGTTAATACAAGTTATGAATGCATCAAAAACTATTAACTCTGTATTTTTCAGATATACTGTTTAACAGTCAACTAATGCTAACCCGATTCTGAATTATCTGAATAGTGAGTGGCATATCGGGTCCCGATGTGACCAAATCCCTGAGCCATGAAAGCAAATGATATCTTCAGATTGAATACGAGATATCAATTAATATATTTTACTGATTGTTGGGTAAAAATCTGCGAAATATAACACAAGTCTCGTTAATAACCATATAATAGAAGAATAAAAGATGTTTTTCTGTTGCATTAAATGCCAAACAAATACATTAATCGATAAATTGATGTTTTTATAATTCTTATGACAAAACCGTTTCATTGGTAACACAAATTTTCTTTCATTTTATGGATTTGTTTATAACAAATAAATGTAAAAATATCGATAAATATAAAACATTAAACCAAACACATAGAGTAATAGCTGTGAAAAATAAGCTTATATTCGTGATTATTATTGTCATTATATCATTATTTTATTATTACTGAAATTTATAGATCAATATAATTAATGGCAACACATTTGGTACACAAACGTTTTGACTGAAATACAAAACTATAATTAGTTTTAATTTTGATAAAAATTTGTAAATAGAAATTAATACAAAATTAGAAAGAATCTCTTTATTAGATTTTACAAAATATTTATATAAATGTCCGAAAAAATAATTAATAATATACAGTAAATACTGAACAGAAATTTGAAAATTGCTTATAATTAAAATAATATATATATTTTAAATTAAAATTTAAATAATATTAATTATATATAATGTAAAATTATTATTTTGATTGAAAATATATTTAAATCCGAGTTAATGTGCACAAGAATTCGCGTGCAATGTGTCTACAACTACTAGACAGGGAGTCCAGCCTTCTCTCTGCAAACTCTCATCAGTGCTCTTAACATGAATTGTCTTCGAGACAGTTCTCTCACGTGCTATAAACAGATAATCAATTCATTAAAAATATGGTTAATTTACGACATTTACAAAAATAGGAAACAAACCTTTAAAAACAATTCTAAATCAATGACACCTTTACGGAGGGCTTCGCTCAAGTAATAGATGGCGTCGACGATAGCGTTCTCTTCGGCGAAAGAGTTCAACAATTGTTTATAAAGCGGTTGTGTCGGACCAAACACTTCATCGATGTCTACAGTTTTTTCTTTGTCATCGCATTTACTGATCACTTCTGAGAGTTGAGCGCTTTTAGCACTCAATTCTTGTTTCGAGTCATTTATTTCGATCATAAAATTGCTTATAATTAAAATAATATATATATTTTAAATTAAAATTTAAATAATATTAATTATATATAATGTAAAATTATTATTTTGATTGAAAATATATTTAAATCCGAGTTAATGTGCACAAGAACTAGCGTAATGTGTCTCTAACTACTAGACAGGGAGTCCGGCCTTCTCTCTGCAAACTCTCATCAGTGCTCTTAACATGAATTGTCTTCGAGACAGTTCTCTCACGTGCTATAAACAGATAATCAATTCATTAAAATTATGGTTAATTTAAGACATTCACAAAAAAGGATACAAACCTTTAAAAACAATTCTAAATCAATGACACCTTTACGGAGGGCTTCGCTCAAGTAATAGATGGCGTCGACGATAGCGTTCTCTTCGGCGAAAGAGTTCAACAATTGTTTATAAAGAGGTTGTGTCGGACCAAACACTTCATCGATGTCTACAGTTTTTTCTTTGTCATCGCATTTACTGATCACTTCTGAGAGTTGAGCGCTTTTAGCACTCAATTCTTGTTTCGAGTCATTTATTTCGATCATTTCGTCTTCCATTCGTCTCATAATATCCTCTAATTTTTGTTTCCCTTTATTTAGATCTTCGCCTAAAACCAAAGCAAACCAAACATTAATTATAAATCATAAAAACACACAAATAATCAAATGATTTACTCGTTTTCTTTAAGACTTCCATTTCTGCGTGAAATTGTGCCTCTTTTTCCCGATATCTCTGTTTCACTTTGTCTTCAACGCAACTGATAAGCGAAGCCCTGATGTGCTCTTCGGTGATAGTGCCGGTCCCGCCCGGACTCAGATTGGGTGTCGGTTGTGGTGTAGTGTTTGGTTGAGTATAAACAGGTTGTGGTGGATAT